GGAACAAGAAGCTACTAAGGGCTCCTGGCATCGCCACTAGGAACAAGAAGCTACTAAGGGCTCCTGGCATCGCTACTAGGAACAAGAAGCTACGTAGCATTCTTGCTACTAGGAACAAGAAGCGCAAGAAGCTACTAGGGGCTCTTCGGGAAGGCGAAGCCGAAACGGCACGGTTTCGCCGACGCCGTCCGTTGCGTCGTCCGGACGGGATTCCCGTCGGCGGCGATGGAGGGAATCGTCCGCTTTTCGGAGAAACGGTAGCAAATCAGCATCCTTGCTCCTACCAGCAGTAACAAAAGGGTGCTTAATGGAGGTTAGGGGTGCCCATTATCCACTCACTTAGGGACTAAACACCAATTGTTTGTGACTGCTGGTAGTAGCTTCTTGTTACTAGTAGCGGTGCGCTTGTTCCTATAGTATAGTTTCATTGTTCATATGGCAGTATGGCCAGGAGTCCCTAGTAGCATCCTTGCTCCTATAGTAGCCAATGGGGAAACGGCTGTTTCTTCTTTTTTGGGGGGGACAGAAGAAAAGAAGGTGAGCAACAGCTAACTTGTTTCCTTGACAATTTGTTGGATCAACTTTTCCATTCTATTTGGGTGTCAGTGATGGTATTCTATATAGTAGGATGAGTAGTAGGATGGGATGGGTCAGAACATCGGCACGCATGCCATTGTCGAGTATGGCAGGATCATGGAGCCCAGCAATATGTCGATTGGCATCGTTTCTTCGACTACATCATCTCTTCCTTTCCCACCCTCGTGTGGCCGCTGGATCGGAACTAGTCGGATTCGCATTGAAAGGCAATGTTTGGTGCGGTGCGGAGGCCATGGCGAGGTTGGAGTACACATGTGATGTGATCACATGATCCAAGGGTTTCGTATGCCCAAAGAAATCTACAGGAGAAGATGGAGTCAGGAAACCTACACCGCCAGTGGTTTCCTGACTCTGTCATCCAAGGAATGTACGGGACACATGGGAAGAAGGGGTAACTGAACAGACTCGGTGAGAGTTGCGGGTGGTTGGAAGCTCACACCCACACAGAAGCTCACTCCGTGAGAGTTGCGGTTTCAAGGGTCAATGTAGGCACATGGGTCTTCCAACTGTGCAAATGTTCTGCCCTGTTCATCTGTATATAAAACCAGAAGGCCGATGTTTTGCACAGTTGGAAGATCCAGGCATTAAAAAAAAGTCCCATGGAGAGTTTGGGATTGGACGGCCACATGCCTAGGTGCAGCATGTTGAGCGTGCTGCTGCTCCACATCCTCGAACTACACCTGGGCTACTTGGAATATCGGAGCGCCCGGTGGAATAACTCCCAAGACGAACAGGAATTGAAAGCTGATACATGTGTTTGGAGTGAACCACCTGTGATTGTTCCATAGTTGGCCGCAAGAAGTTTCTATCGTAGGGTCTCGCGCTTGGATTCTGCACTCTTCGGAGTCAGCTGCGGCCGAATCCATGGGGCCCCCGGAGTCGCGCGCCTCCACGCGGAGTCTCGATGCGGCAGCGGCTGATGGGTTTGGGGCGACCTTTTGTGGGGTTTGGAGCGGTTTGGAACGATGAATGCAGCTGTCGGTCTCCTTCGTGTGAATCTCCCAACGCACCACACCGACCACACCGACCACACCGCACTCCCCCGCCATGTTTCACCAACTTTCAAGTAGTGAAGTCGAGAGGGGGTGATGAAGTTCGGGAGTGGGACTCTTGATCCACCGATTGGGCAGTGGCTTCGTGGCAGCTCGCCCAGCTCGAACCGCATCGCCCAACTGAGCCTGGCGTCGCTCCTCGTCCCGCGCCTGCCGCGCCTGCTTGCGGCCGTGGTTTTTCCTGGGAAATCTGCTGGCCTATGTGCTCTATGCCGCCTGTGTGGCGGTGACCCTCCCCAGGACTCGGAGCCGGCGGCTGGAAGGAAGTGTTTCGTTCCGCTGGCGGGAGGAGAACCCACAGTTACTATAGTAGCGATGGCCTCCAACCTACTTGCGACGGCCTCCACCTAATAGCGTCCTTGTTCCAAACCTGTTTGTGTGTGGATGAGGACTATAAAGCCAAAGGGACGTCAAAAGTTTGGACGTCAATCTATAGATCCCTACGTAGAATTTCTTCGCATGCGACGTTTTCGAGATGAAAGCCGGACACCGACCTTCGGGAAAGAGACACGACCTGTCGGAGCAAAAGTGCATACCCAGACGCTCCAAACAGCCCGACTGGTCCCTCAAAACTATAGGGATTTGAGGGTCCGGGCCCCTCCATATGAGGGTACGGACCCTACTTAGCAGCGTCTGGGTAGTTGAATTTCTCATCTGAAGATTCCCGGATTCGAGCCAGTCATGTTCACTCCGCACACATCAAACATCCAGTACACACTTGGTGGGTTTAAACATGTTTAAGCCAATCCGGCTGACCCCACAAGCAAATCTGGTTCATCCCAAGTTTCTCCCCACGGCTACAAGGTGATAGACTGACCTGGGTCTAGACAACCGATCTGGTGAAAAAGCGCGAGCAGCGACACGTCGCCGATCGGACGCGGGTGCCGCTTCTGGGCACGTCGCCGTTGGCGGACGTGTCTTCTCGGCGGCGATTCAGGAGATATGCGGCCTTTCGCCATGGCGCCTACTTCCTGCTGGGGTGTACTCATGTTCTCCTGGTTTCAGGGCCCTTTGACTGGAAGACATAGAGCTTGCCGCGGTGTGGAAGTGAGTTTGGAAGTCGAAGCCCATTGTTCAAGTATGGTGTTACTAAGGAGTTTACACTACAAAACGAGACCAAACAGTTTTATATCAACCGATCTTGGGCTTCCAGGGTGCACTCGATACATCTCGATACCTTTGGTGGTGCGCAGCTCACAGGCAACATCCTCCAAGTGTTGCATCCCCGTTGCGGTCGAATCACTTCGATTCCGTGGCGGTCAAAGCCACCACATGCTCCAAAGACCTGGGCCGTGCAGCTAGACGACCTGGGCCGTGGTAGCCATGGTGGGGTTTCGGATAATTTTAGGATAAGGGCCCACGCAGAGGGCCCATGCCCTTGTTGGTGTTGGCTCAGCATTGCTTTGCGTGGCTCAGCCAAGCAAAGACCTCCTGGGACTCCAACTCCGGACTGGTGCATGCTTTTCGCTGCGGCCGCCGAGGCTGTTATACTTTGGCTATGCCGTCAAGAAGAAGGCATAGAAGCCGCAATCAGCTGATGTTCGAACCGAGCACCTGGTCAAAAGCAGCATAGAAGCTGCTGCTGATTGCCTTCGAAAACTCACATGGACCCTGGTCGAGGGAGGCACCCGGGTCGTCTTGACCAGGTTTTCCTCCACCAAACCGTGGTTCAACCAATGTCTTTGGAGGATCGACTCGTTCCTCCAGTGTTGGTCCTTCATCGAGTGCCTCGGCCCGTGCCTCGGCTCCAACCGCGCCAGGTCCATCAGCTCGAAGGCTCCGACCTCCTGAGCCGACGGAGAGCGGCGTTTCGCGGAACGCGACCGGTGGCAGTCGGGTGGGGGTCGGACACCGGTGACAGCGTCGATGGCGATCAGACCAGTCGGTTCTACCCTCCCAGACGGCAGACCCGTTCGGCCCCGAATCCTTTGGGGGTCTGGGGTCGAAGCAATCCCGGTTTGGTTCGGGACCAGTCGGGCGTCGTTCACGGAGCGGAACGGAGCGAATTCAGGATCCGCACCCTCAGGGGGGGCTCCAGTTCTACTCGTGGGATCTGGGATCCACTCGGTGGTGTTCCCATTCTATGCTTCTTTAAGCAGTGATAGACAGAAACTCGCTGTCGACTTGAGTCTTTGCAATGATTGAATTTGGTGGATGCGGGGTCTGAACACCTGAAGTTGACCGAGAAGCCGATGTGTTTGGCTCCGGGTCGTCTCACACCCTATACCGATACCTCGGTGTCCGAACGGAGGAAGGGAGTTGGGTGCCCCAACACTGGCAGTCTGAGACAATCACTTCGGGTTCTTGGCGTGTCACTGGCAGTCTGATCCGTCTCTGACACGTGGACACTGCCCCAACGACGACCACCATGGACACCGCGAGAGGATGTGGCTCTTGGCCCTGGTGCCTCTGACGGAGCTCGTGCGCACGGTGAACGACTTCGAGTGACCGAAGGGACTGGAGTGAAGAGCACGGTGAAGAAGGGAAGAGGGGTTGAGAGACCAGACCAGAACTAGGACCCTGGTCTGTGGTACATATGGGACGGGCGATTTTTTGGCAGGCTGTGAACAACCTCTCTTGGAAGGGAAGAAGTCGAAGTGGAAGTCCAGCGGGTCAGATCGAAGAGAGGTGTGAGGGTCATGCCACTTGCCGTGGAAGAAGTCCACCGACCCCTTTGGGCCTCGCGGTTTCCCTCTCTTTGAGGGCCCAATTTGCACAGTTCGACGTCGGAGAGAAATCATAGGGAACAGACTCTTTCAATCTGAATGTACGAATTTGGAATGGCTCTTATTGTAGAAACTAAATGAAACTAACAGTTTAGTCCATCCACTGTACGAATCCAGTTTCAAAACATGATACAAACTCGTGTTGAGTTTGATTGAAAACCTTGGGGCCCTCCCGACGCAGGTAAGACAACCGGTGATCAAGACGCAGGTTGGCTGATCAATAGGTCCTAACAAGAAGGTGAGCTGGCTTCCAGATGCTGGAGGGGGTCGAACCGTTCTTGTACCAGCACCTTCCAACAGGTCTCCTTTTTGAGGGTTAGGCCCTAACAGGTTTCAGTTAGTGACCTGTGAAGTCGGTGCTGGTATAGGTACTCTTTGGGCTTCTTGCCGTTCAATTTGGATAGTGTCTTGGCCGAGACATGCCGAGAACCACAGATCCGGGCAGCAGATGCAGACAGGCGAGCGATCAGGAATGGCTTCCACATGGTTCCGACTCCATGGGACTGGCTGATGTGTACACTCCGACGAACACATTGAAGTCGAAAACCACCTGTCTGAGCAGTTGCAAACTACACTCCAACTCACTAACATTGAAGTGGATGGCACCACCTGTTTGTAAAGGACAGTCGTCTTCCGAAACGGGGTCATGCCATCCACTTCTACCATGTGACGTGTTCGTCAGAGTGTACCTACATGGGGCCAGTGGAGGCTGGGAATTTCCAGACATGGAGTGAAGTGTATTGGGGTCATGCATGTTCAACGTGATGGGTTTTTTCCGTCTGTGTGATTGGTTGACCGTTTGGAAGCCGACAGACGGTCAGCCCCTCCTTCCCATGCAGGCTGAAACGCTAAGTGACGTCCCCCCATCCAGTTCCAGTCATAAGAAGTACTACCCCCCCCGCATGACTCACATGAATTCCTGAGAATTGACCCGTGGTTTCGACCATGTTCTACCAATTCCAGTGGTGTTGGGCTCTAAGACCGTCCTTTACAAATCCCGGTGGATTTGCGCCGGCCACCCCCCGCGGCGGCGAGTCTCCTCGCTCCGGCGGAGCGGTCCCAAGGTGGGCTAAGCAGCTTTCTCTTCCTGGCGCTGGCCAAGCTGTTCCTAGAATGGCTACCGTCCGTGGCTTGAATGGCGAAATGGACATGCGCTGTTTGGAGCCACGGGGGTGGAGGATTTTGGAGCACTGCGCGCGGCCAAAGAAAGTCATCGTCCTATTCCAGTCTCGAGTGGTAGAACCTACGTCCCCAGAAGCCGATCGAAGAATCCAGGGTGTGAGCCGTTGTAAGCTCACCCACTTGCAACAATCATGGGGCACCACTGAAAAATTCCAAGTTGAAGGTTTAGTTACGTATGGTTTAGTTGTAGTATACCTAGATCTTCCAACTATGCAACAATTATTTGCCTTTTTAGTGTAGAATAATAAAACCAGCCAAAAGGCAGACATTTTGATAGTTGGAAGATCTAGGTATAATTATTCTAGTGTTGTTGCTTTGTTGGTGAAGTGGTTTAATCAGTGCAACTCGACTCATCAGGAGAAGAGCTTTGACTCGGAAGGACGAAGCGCCAAGGGCAGACGAGATGTGACATACCCTATACCCGAACGAAGTCCAGTTCGACGATGACCGACTGAAGTGTTCAGGACATTCCTTGACTCGGGTCACCGAACTCATCGTCAGACGCTTCGGCCCCGGACCCCCGGACCGTGAAACGGTGGGGTGTCAGGTCCGACCCACGGCGGTCAGGGCGAGCTGGGCGAGCTGGGCGAGCCTAGACCCCTGGGAGTCCAGTCGACTGGTCTGACGATGACGAACGGTGACCCGAGTCAAGGAATGTCCTGAACACTTCAGTCGGTCATCGTCGAACTGGACTTCGTTCGGGTATCTGTTCCTTCGGGCCGGGATTCTTAGGGGGAAGGTTCGGATTGCTTTCGACCGTGCTTCCCCCCCCTTCAGCAGTCCTCTGAACGCCACTCGAGGCCTGTATCTTGATCGTCTTCCAGCCCTCTCAGCGGCGCCATGCATCGCCCGGGGCACGCGCGGAGGACTTGGTGAATCCGCTGCTGCCGCCCAAGCCCTTCGATCAAAAGCCAGAAGTCGAAAGCTCGGAGTCCGAGGAGACCACCCGATCGGCCACCGACCCGACCGCCGGTCACCCTAGGAGTCCAAAGACTATATCTTGACTGACTGAAGTAAAGGACATTCCTCTTCATGTCACCTAAATTACTATTCTTTTTATAGTCTTTGACTCCCAGGGGTCACGCGGCGGACGGGAGACGAGTCGACCGCACCGTGGAAGGAACGAGTCACGCGGCGAGGATCCCGAGGCTCCGAGACGTGAAGCTCGGCTGGACGGAAACGCCGGGGTCATCGCTGTGCCGGAGGGTTGGGGCGCCGTTGTGCCCCCAAAAAGACGCTCCACGATGGAAATATATAATAAACGACCTGAAGGTGTCCAGGAAAAACGGAAACATGTTTTTAAAAAAACGGATCCAAGAAAGCCCCCCTGCCCATCCCTTCCTTCCGCCTTGGCTCCTGCCATCCCGGCAGGAGGACACGCGAGGGACCTTAGGTCCCCCGGAGGGGATTCCGTGGAGCTTACGCGTCACCTGCGGATCTCCTCGCTGTGGATTGTCCGCCTCCCGGGCTTGTCGCGCGACGCGAGCGCCAGCGCGACGCGAGCGGTGTGGGGGGGGGGGAAGAGCTCAGCGCCGCCGCCGGGCCTCAGGTGAGGGAGGAGAGGATTTTGGGAGAGACCTTTGGGCGGTGAGGCTAGAAGGGAGTGGCTTGAGCCCCTGGTTTTTTGAATGGATTAGTGTGAGATCCAGGACGGTCGGTCACTGAAGAACCAGGGTGTTGGTGAGCGAATCAACGAATCACCAGTCCCTAGTGTTAAAAAGGCATAAAAAGGCTACACCCCCCTGGAAGAATCATGGAACCCAGACACGACCCATGGGACCGCCATAGGACTGCCGAGAAACGGCCAGGGGTGGTTGCCAGAGGGAGCCATTTGATCGGCAGTCCGTCATGGCAGTCCCAGACAGGTCGCGTCTGGCGAAGTGGGAGGACATGGTCCTCCGAACGAAAGGGGCCATGCCATCCACGTTGGCCCACATTGACTTTCGCACGGTACCGTGTGGTCGAAGGTCGCGCACAACTCGCCCGACTCTTCATCTCAGCCAGCACCAAGGAGTTCGGGTGGTTTTGTTTGAGCCCCGCTGGCGATGTATTTCCCTGGGAGTGTACCGAAGTTTGTGAACATCCTGGAAACTTCAGTCGGTCAAGGTCAATAGACTGTTGAACTGGATGTCCTTCCAATCACCACCCTTTCAATTGTGCATCGAATGGTTTCGTTGGTTTCCTTGTGCAAGCAAGCCATGTCAACCGAAGGCCCACTAAGCAGAAGGTTCTAACCGAATGCCACTTCGATGCTGAGGAAAGAGAATGGAAAGCCATGGGTGTCGATGAGTACCTGGGCGCCTGACTGGGCAGTTCTGACTTAGATGACCTGAAGTTCATAGCATCCTTGCTCCTAGTAGTAAGGCCAGGAGCCCCTAGGATTCTTGTTACTAGTATAGTAAGAATGTTCCTAGTAGCGATTCCCTAGTAATTAGCGTCCTTGTTCCTTCATCACCCCAAGCAGAACCACGTATTTGCCATGGCTGGGTCGGTACCAGGAAAAAGAATAGATTCTGAATAGATGTTTGGATCACGTCGGGGGCCAGTTGGCAAATGCAGGCTAGTGGCGAGTTGTGTTCATGTTCAACGTGGGATTCTTTACCACCAACTCATGTTTTTTTACGCGGGTTGAAACATGTTCAAGAACACCAACCTGAAGATCGTTCTATCCGTGACTAAAATGGCATTGTTGAGAGTTTAGAGGCTTTGGATTGAAGAAATGTGGAAAGATGACGTTTCTGGAACGAAAGATGCTGCCCGTTGACATCCCTACGTAGGCTGCACGTGGATGTTGAGGTTACTGCTGAGGTTTCGTGGGGACACCCCGGGCCTCCGGATGGGACATTGCAAGATAAATTTTGAAAGAGAGCAACAAAGAGAGGCATGCCGCAGCGTGCCTTGACGAGGTCTTACCAGGAGCCCCGCAAACCATCAAAAACCTGGTTTTCCCTAGCAAAAAACATGGCTTTAGTATGTGAAAACCTTTGTTTTTCATGGTTTTGAGGGCCCCCTGGTAACAACATGTTTTTTGGAGCTCACCTCCCGGCCAACGATGCCAACGAACCATCCTCTTAAGGCTTAATTGGGAGTCCATGAAATCCTAGGTATTCCAACTATGCCTTTATACATGAAAAAGGCTGAAATGGTTGATCCAGAGATGATGAACTTGGGATTCCGGTTACATCCTCGTCCTCGTCCCCTGTACCCCCACCAGACACGGTCAGTTGACAGTACCTCCACCGGACGAGCGACGCCGCGCGCGTGTTCGTTACGGCTCCTTGCGCCGGCGATCGGCGCGCGCCGACCGCGCTAAGCTCCTGGATTTGCGACGTCCACTTCAACGACAGCAGCGTGGACTCCAGTTGTTTGAACCGACGCGTCGAGGGATGAGGGCCGACGGTCCTTGGGCGACCGGTGAAGGACGTCTCGAGTCTCTGTATGGGTCAAATGGGTCAAATGGGTTAACCTGGTCAACTGACTCCCAGGGAGTTCTCATTCTCCCACTTTGGGGACCTCTAGGCCTTTGATTAGAGGCTCGATGGCGACCTCAAGATGTCCTTTACATGGGGGTTCATATAAACCACCGACATTGAGGTCTGTGGCATCTACTCTCAATCCACTATAAATAACCTCAAAGTTCGGTCACTTTGAAGGTCCTGCATGGTGTGTCCGTGTTGAGTTCTGTACGAGCTCATTCCCTGAAGCCGGTGACGCCGCCGAAGCGCCGTGCGCAAAAACCGCCGCGACCTCTCGCACGCAATGCGGCGACTCGAGTTGCAACGAGTGGCTGCGATGTTTGAATGAACTCGGTGCCGGCGCGGCGCTCGTGGCCACGTGTGCGGAATCCGTCCTGTCCATGTGTTGCTTCAGATTCGTCTCCCCAAGATGGGCGAAAAGAACATGTGCCATTCGCCCGGGTGTTTGACCTTGTTGGGACATAGAGACATCTCTCAAGTGGGGTGTTCGTAACAAGAAGCTACGAGGTTGGAGGCCATCGCTTTTAGGTTGGAGGCCTTGCCACTAGTAACAAAGTGACCAGTTGAGCAAGAAGAAACTCCCTGAGACACCGGCCACAGCGCACTCGGCTGCCTCCTTCGATGTTTCACTAGTTTAGTCGTTCTAGTTTGGGCTACTGCCTTCCCCCAGCGAAGCCGCAGAGATCTGAGTTCAGGAAGCTACTAGGGGCTCCTGGCATCGCTACTAGGAGCAAGGACGCTACTGGGGGCTCCTGGCATCGCTACTAGGAGCAAGAAGCTACTAGGGGACCAGCACCTTCTGTTCAGGGTCACTAGGCTGGAAGCCCCCACACAACTGGATCTCCATGAAACACCCCTTGAAGGTCTAGGAATGGATCTTGAGGATCTATGACAGTGAAAGCAGCAGCCCAAGAGGCAAGAGGTGGTGAAACTTGGCCATCGCACAGAAAAAGGCGCGCCGGCTGTGGCTGTGGTGAGGGGAATGGCACATCATTGGCACCCCTTGATAGAAGACGATCGTCGAGATCGGCCCTCCGAAAGTGCACACGCTCACATGAAGGTGGTGTGTCATAAAGGACGTTCATTCCACAGGTGTTTGGCACTGAAATGAAGAAAGAGGAGAGGTGTAAAAAGAAGAAGGACATCCTACGTTACAGGTCAGACTCGGCGTTCTTCCCTTGTGTTGTCCCGTCCCTTGGCTCTTGAGTCCCTGTCTCACCATGTCCACTGCGGATCGCTGGCTTGACTCGTGGCTGGGGTTGAGAGCGAGGCTTTGGTGCATATTCAGCACCGCGGAGTCCTTCTGAAAAGGTACGCCAAACGCGCATCATTCACAACCCCTAGGGATCCAAGTACCTTCTCAGAAGGTGATTGGAGACTATGTATGTAGGCTTGGAGGGCCCAAGTACTTCCTGAGAAGGTATGTGGATCCCTTGGGAACCAAACTGTGCCAAGCTGGTTTGCATGAGGGAAATCCATTCGACTGGAAGGTTTTTGGAATGTTGTTGATCAGGGAGGTCTCCAGCGGCCGGCAGAGACCCCAACTTTCCCTTTCTGGTGTTCCAGCCTGCCGCGCTTGCCAGTCCTTGCTGCAGAACCGCTCGGCAGTCAGATGGCTTAGGGGATTGCTGGATTCCATGTGCAGTGGGGGTGTGCTGGATTGTAGAGATGACACTGCCAACATTGATTTGGTCAGTCGAGTCACATGGAGTTGGGTGGTTTTGGGTCCGCTGAGCCGTTTTTGTGGATGTTCTCAACCCTTATTCGCTACTAGTAACAGGTGCATCGCTAGTATACCTAGATCTTCCAACTATGCAACATGTTTGCCTTTTGGTTGGTTTTATACACTAGTTGGAAGATCTAGGTATAGTAACAAGTGCCTTACTAGTAGTAACAAGAAGGGGCACCTGCACTCCTTCCTCCGTGCGGTTCGGCCGCCCGAGCGACCTGTTTACTGGTGGGTGGGTGGCAGTTCTGGTCATTCCCAGACGCGACCTGTCTGGGACTGGCATAGGACTGCCAATCAATTGACCCCTTTTCAACCACCCCTGGCCGTTTCTCGGCAGTCCTATGGCAGTCCCATGTGTGTTTGGGATTTGGATTCCTTCAGGCTTTCTTCGAGAACCATGGCCCTTTGGAGCATGCAAGAGTACGTGTGTCGAAACGGATGGAGTCGGCATTGAGGTTGCCCCGGAGCCGGGGTGGATGAAGAACCCCCCAGAATTGGCCAACGACGGGGGCAACCCCTACTTGGGTGCACCTTTGCTCCAAGCTTGAAAACAGATCGAGAATCTCGCTCCAATTGTTCAGACATCCACAGTTCCGCATGAATTCGATGTACCAGCTTCTTCAGTTTTGTGACCGAACTTTGCAGTCGGTAGCCATGAATCGGTCGACAGTCGACAAGGTTCGTGACCTCCAACCCCACCCAGGGGTACTTCGTGCTTCGGTCACGAACTGAAGAACCTGGTCCAACAAGGATCTCGTCGAGCGCACGCTCCAGTGCAGTCGATCCACCGAGCGACCTCTTCCCCGCTTCAGGTGGCCCAAGCGATGCTGGCGCAGGGCGGGCGCGTGAGCGTCGAGGCATGGTGGAAAGGGGGTGCAAGGGCGAAAGCGACCCGGGGAGGGGTGAAAGCTGTGGCTTTGGAGGGGATTCCGGTTTGGCGCGAAGGGTTTGGAGTTCATCGATTTCGAGGGGTTTTTTGGTTGAGCGAAGGAAGAAGCCAAGCGAAGGGAGGTTTGCATTCATGGTGATTTGCAGGCCGGCAGGCCACGAAGGCGAAGAAAGTCAATGCTTTGTGTGCCATGTTCACTGAGTGTTGCCAGTGAGATTTCAAGTTTGGATACTTGATGCGCTGCGTCTTGATGCGCTGACAGGGCAGTTCGTTGACCATCCGATTTGCTCTTTGTACATTGATACGACGGGACCCGGCAAACTCTGTCGTGAACCGGTGTTTTTGTTCCGCCCAGGGGTGTCTGGCGTTGTGGTCCTTCAACATGCCGGGCATGTCTCCAGCGAAAGGGCTTGTCAGCTGACGACATGGAGGATGGTACAGAGTACAGAGCCTCACCATGCATGGCCATGCATTTGACATATCCGCTAACTGGGCTTTTTCTGAGAGCAGAACATCTCTTCAAGACATTGCTGAGACAGCCTGGTAAGATCGGAGCGGGTGTGTACATGCTAGCAATGCTCTCATAAGAACATCCCCGCATGTTCATTGATTTGCAAGTAACCACTCAAAGTGCAAGGTGAATTTTCTACAATCTACCAGCAAGATTAGCTTCCCACATGATCCTCTAGCGCGATGGGTGCTGCTTCTCTGTGCCTTTGCTCTGAGGAGGACCGTCGGGCCGATGCGTGTATGATGTGGCGCTGGCGCATGGGCGGTTTGGGAAGAAGATGATGTGCATCGAAGCCAACCAAGCACAGCTTGGGTAGGGAGTTGGAACCCTCCCTACCCATCACACCACCTCACCAGCGAATGGAATGAAACATGACGAGCAACTCCGAGCAACTCCCAGAGTCTGATCGGTAATCCTAGTCCCCTCAACAGCCATGGTGGTCCGTGATTCTGCTACTCCCGCCCCAAACCCAGGCTGGCCGGCTGGTCTCTTCTTCCTCTAGAAACCAAGCACTCGATCGATCTGGACGTGCGGACGATGCCGGCTTCTCTCACCTCATCAGTCACCGTCTGACCTGTCACCATCGATCGTGACCTGCCGGCAGCGGAGACCTGTCACCATCGGAGATCCGTCGGAGACCTGTCTCCACGTCGCGAACTCCACGGGACGACTGGGACGAAGGGGCCGTGGATCCCGAGTGTCGGGCGAGTGGAGTTCGCGAGTGCCGCTGGACGGTGCAGGAGGGCCGCCATGGCATCCATCGGCCCAAAAAGACCGAGGCGGGGATCGGCGGGAAGAGACGTGCCCCAAGTGTCCAAGGGAAGTCCACAAGTCAGGTAGACGGATGAATAGGGGTTTGCCCACTTGAGATTTGGAACCAAGAATTTGTATCATTGTAAGTAGAGTTTAGTACCAGGACTCTCCAAGGGGTCACCAATGGAAGCCCCTACACTACCTAATATATAGGCTTCCAGACAGGGCACCCTTGGAGGGTCCAGGTAGAGGCTAGTCCATTTGACACCCCTTTTGGATGGGTTGACCGTTCGGCCCCTGTTTGATCCACAGGAGCCGAACCTCCCGCCCAATGCCATCAAGATCCATCAAGTAGAGCCCTAGAACCTGATGGACCCCTGTCTTGGAGCCAACACATGGTCTTTTCATATCAAAACAGAGGTCAAATGGGTTATAGGAGTAGAATCAAGTCCCCTCAAAACCCGAAAGAAAGCAGAACTTTCGCTCTGGAGCTGCTCCAAAATTCGAGGCATCCCTTCGTGCATCCCTTCGATCGACCTGATTGGGGCGAGGGTCGCCCAAAGCGTTGGCCACCGTTGGAGCACACAGTGCATCTCATAGAACCCAAACACGACACATGGGACTGCCCTAGGACTGCCTTCAAAACGGCCAGGGGTGGTGCCGGTCCCACCGTTGAAGGGCATAACAAACATAGAAATCCATTCCCAAACACGACACATGGGACTGCCATATCTATGCCGATCAGGCCAGGGTGGTGCCAGGTTCAATCGGATGCTCATGTGACGACCACATCACATGAGCCCACGTGGATGGCGCCCGTTGGATGACTGTTTTTCTTACTATAGCGAGTCTGTCCACTTCCATGTGATGTGTTCACCGGGTCAAGTTCATGACCCCCAGCCTTCACTTGAAATCGTTGACTTGGTCGCACAAATCCTTCATTAAACAATCCCAGACGCTCCATGTATGCCATATATGGCTACATTGACCCCCAAAACCACCCCCATGTAGACAAATATTCCATACATGGAGCGTGTGGGAATGGTTGCTTGGTATGGACGCATCCGAGCCGAAGCAACCGAGGTTGAAGAACCCTAGTTCGACATGTTTGCCTCGGATAGCAGGGCAGATGCGTGAAGTCGCACACGGAGTGTTGGATGGAGGGCAGGTCGTATGCCCTTTTTCATTCAGAGGGCACGGTACTGCAAAGCTAAAAAGGTTGGTCACGAAGAGTAAGCTTGACTGAAAGCATGTCCATACCTAGATTTTCCAACTATGCAAAATGTATGCCTTTTGGTTGTATAAAACCAGCCAAAAGGCATAAATGTTGCATAGTTGGAAGATCTAGGTCTTAGAAACCCGCAGGTGATCCCGTGTCCTTTTTCAGGTCGACGACGAGTCGCTCACCTCTCTCTCTCTCTCTCCTCTCTTTGTCGCCGAGGAGCTCGAGCCGCCGGCGGAGAATCTGGTGCTCCAGGTCGAGAAGTGCTTGGCAGAGCCCAAAAGGTG